CTTCGTTCACCATCCAGTGAGTGGATGTTCTGGGCACCCCTATCCTCGAACAAGCACCCCCATTCATATTGTTCCATCTTAATGCTTCCCACTACTAGTACGGCTCAGGTGCAAAGGAGTCTAACCCGATGTCTTCTTCTTCATCTTCATCAGCGTCAAATTTCTCGCAGCGTCCTTCCCGACCACCATCAGGATCCTCAATGAAAATGCACCCGTATTGGTGGTCTGTGGCATCCCGAACAGCTTCATCTTGGTCTATGCACTGAACCCTGTTATCGCTGCCCCTCTTGCAGAACGTGTCTGCGTTCACAGCAGCAACTTGTTTGAAGGTATCCACATCCATGCACACAAACGGACCGAAGCCCTCATCTGTTTTGTACTTCTTCATTTGCCGTTCTTTCAGTATTTCTGGGCATATTGCGGCAGCTTCTTTATATCTGCATATTCTCTTCTTCTTCCCATTGAAGTGGAGGGAGCAAATCTCATCATCCCGCGAAGTCCAAGTGAAGCCCTCAGAAAACCAGGCACCTTCGAATTTTTTGCATTCGGACTCACGCTTGTCTTTGCTCTCTGCTTTTTCGTTGATATGGCGAGATCCTTCCGGACACCTGAGCGGTGTCCAAACACATCAATATCTGGCTATGTGTCGGACTATAGAACTCGGAAACTCCTCTGATCCCTACTAACAACATCTAACAACCAGCAGACTCATCTCGGAGCAAATTTTGGAATGCTTTTGGACATAGCCCACCTGGTGTTGTCAATTTGATCCACGAAAACGAAGCCTGGCACCACCTCGTCGCTAAGCACGGGCTCAGGGGGCGAGAGAGTTCGAGTGGTCCAAACGATGGTGATCTGGCACATCAAGAAAATCCACGTAAATGCCGCCATGAAACCTTGGAACTGATTGTTCGCACACCCGAAAAGTCAAAATCGACACGCGGGCCCTGCATCAATGAGTAGAGTGGATACTGCGAGGGGGAACCAGCATTGGCGATAACCTAAGTATAAGCTATAAATATTATATATATATATGTTTTTACTACACACATCAGAGGACCCCCAATAGTAACACACCTGGGCCTGGGAAAAGGTCAGAACATCTCTCCTAAAATTACTAATCCTGCGTCGGTAGGCAGGACACTGTAAATGATCAACCTGCTTGGATAGTGGATGGGGACCCTAAAGCAAGCCACCGGGTGGTTGTCAAACTTACCTCGTTTTTTTGTTGTTTTACGGATGAGGCAAAAGAAATCAAAAAGAACATCAGGTCGTCAGCTTAGCATAGGTGGGATTCTTGGGTAAAACATGGCAATCCTCACGCTTCGTTGAAGCAATATTTCGACAACTGCACGGACTACAAGCAGAGCTAGACAGCAGGATTTGGCAACAACCCGAAGTCTGCGCATGTGGGCCATATGAAGACAGTTTTGCAGTTAACTTGCAGGGTGTCTTTCCGAGGTCCTCTATAAATAATCGGCAACTACCGGAAGTTCATTGCAGGTGATCCACAAGAATGGTGTCTTCCAGAGATGCCCAAAAACAATCAGCAAATATCTGAAATGCATGCGTGAAGACCAGGATATGGTTTAAGCGCCAGCGTGATGGCCTGCGCACGGACGCAGGAGTACTGTGGCACATTTGGAGGATGTGGAGTCCTGGGATGGAAGACTTATTGTTTTGGAGATTTTGCGAGCTATACCGGATTTTCACGAATGCACAGCGAAGGGTTTCGCTTAACTCTGGGGCCTGGGGGTCTGGGGGTAGAGAGTGCATGATTTGCGTGACATTTCATTCATGTTCGCAACCGAAACTTTGGGGAGCATGTCAACGATTCGAGGGGCTTGGCTTGCGAAACTGCTTGGCAGGGCTGTGTGACGTGTTCGCTTCCCACTTCACTTTAGGAGGAAGTCTCGCACGAAGCGACGGAGCGCTCATTTTGGAGAAACCAGCTTGACGGGTCACCGTGGCATGAAGCCTTGGACGAAATGCCTACAAGTATGTCCCACAAGTGTGTCCTACAAAGGCGTCGCACAAAGGTGTCCAGACTTTCACACACGAGTGTCCCACACGTGTGTGTGTGTGTGTGTAACCTTTGGAGTCACAAGGTTCCTGTTGGATTGTTAAGCAGGGGGTGCAAGCAGCCCATCCAGTCTTGCACCAACGAAGACACTGGATGTGTGCTGGTGAAATCAATCCGGGACGCCGGATTGACGTACCTGCGTGGAAAGAAACCTACGTGAAGCACAAGCTGTCTACTATAGGTTGTTTCCATCAGTACAAGGTTAGTGCAGCGACACTTCACTTTGGAACTTTCGTGAGCTTGGGATCTGAACTTGAACTTGCCTGTGGAGGCTTTGGAGGTTTTGGCTTCATCCGTTTTTCACTTAGCTGGATTCTTAGGTCTTTTCACTTAGGCTGGCGTGTGGCAAACTGCAACCAAATCAGTAGGCATTTCTATAAGTGTGTCTGATGTCTGTGCCACAAATGTGTCCTCTTAGAAGAGTGTCACCCAAGAATGTCCTTGAAGCGTGTCTTTGAAGAGTGTCAAGCAAGAGTGTCAAACAACGTTTGGCTCAGTGTTTGCCCACGTGTGTGCTCGGGTTCGTGGGCTCCATCTTGTTGTTAACGCAGGGCTTGGGCCTGTTTGTTGCCTCTTGAGCTGCTTTGCTTCTGAAAGCAGCTTCGTGTTTTGGATGTTGCCAGTATGCTGCAGCCGCTAGGAACGCCTGCTGAAGCCCGCAAAAGCCTACCTTCATCCGATAGGCTCACCACCCTTGTTGAGTGCATGTGTACAAATTCATTTGTGCTGGGTGCTGAGGCACTCCATGGCCCTTGACTCATGGTAGTAGAAAGGGCAAACAACAACTTCCCGGTACTTCTACAATATTATTACATATTACAGCTTATTGCAAGTCCTCTTTCAGCAGACAGGACACTGTACATCTGCAAGCTTCTGGGCGAAAGCTTGACAAACCACGAGACTTTTGAGCCCAAATCTGGCGGCCTTGAGCATCACAACTCATCGCCATGATTGGTTCTATCTTGCAAAAAGCTGTACCATTCAGGACTTCCTCTGCTAAAATAGGACTTTCCAAGTTGCCGGGCTTTGAACATGCATGAGCACATGCGAAAAGACATGTAATTGTAAATACTGTAAAGATTATTTTTGGGCCATGTATAGTTCTAGCAAAGTTCTAGCCAATATCCGCGTATCAAATGCTTCGTACGTCTTCAAGTCCGCAATAGATGTCTCAGTCCCGTCTTCGAGCATGAATTGCCCCGAAAGAAGGGAGCCCTGTGTGGACGTGAATAATTTTCATTCATGGGGCGTGAAGGATGATTTTTGTTCCACAGAAACATGATTTGGTGTTCATGTTCATGTGCATGAATGGAACTTTTCCGCAGTTCTGCAGAACCTGCATCTGATTCTGCTGAGTCGAGTGGTGAACCCTGTAACTCTAGTACGCGTCCAAATCGATTTCATCGGAGTCATCTGCCATGGGGTCAAATTTCCTGCAGCGTCCTTTCCCAGCACCATCAGAATCCGAAATGATCTTGCACCCATATTGGTGGTCTGTGGCATCCTGAACAGCTTCGTCTTGGTCTATGCACTGAACCCGGCTATCTTTGCCCTTCTCGCAGAACTTGTCCGCATTCACACCAGCAATTTGTTTGAAGGTATCCACATCCATGCACACAAACGGACCGAAGCCCTCATCTGTTTTGTACTTCTTCATTTGCCGTTCTTTCAGTATTTCTGGGCATCTTGCGGCGGCTTCTTTATATCTGCATATTCTCTTCTTCTCTCCATTGACGTGAAGGGAGCAAACCTCGATACCCCGCGTTTTCCACCGATAAGTCCACCGCGAAGTCCAAGTGAAGCCCTCAGAAAACCAAGCACCTTGAAATTGTTTGCATTCGGACTCACGCTTGTCTTTGCTCTCTGCTTTTCCGTTGATATGGCGAGATCCTTTCGGACACCTGAGCGGTGTCCAAACAGATCAATATCTGGCTATGTGTCGGACTATAGAACTCGGAAACTCCTCTGATCCCTACTAACAACATCTAACAACCAGCAGTCTCATCTCGGAGCAAATTTTGGAATGCTTTTGGACATAGCCCACCTGGTGTTGTCAATTTGATCCACCAAAACGAAGCCTGGCACCACCTCGTCGCTAAGCACGGGCTCAGGGGGGCGAGAGAGTTCGAGTGGTCCAAACGATGGTGATCTGGCACATCAAGAAAATCCACGTAAATGCCGCCATGAAACCTTGGAACTGATTGTTCGCACACCCGAAAAGTCAAAATCGACACGCGGGCCCTGCATCAATGAGTAGAGTGGATGCTGCGAGGGGGGGAACCAGCATTGCCGATAACCTAGATATAAGCTATACCAGGACCCTCCAACCAGCTGTTTGGAGACCCTAACAGGTGGTTTTAACAGGTGGTTTCTGGGCACGCACCTGTCAGGAAGCACCTGTTGGAGGGTGCTGGTACATAATATGTATAAAACTATACACACATCAGAGGATCCCAATAATAACACACCTGGGCCTGGGAAAAGGTGGGAACATGTCTACTAACATTACTAACCCGGTGTCGGTAGACGGGACACTGTAAATGTTCGTCCTGCTGCAAGTCCTCTTTCAGCAGACAGGACAACGCAAATCTCCAAGCTTCTGGGATAGCTTCACAAACCACGACGAGACTTCTGAGCCATACAAATCTGGCGGCCTTGAGCATCACAACTCATCGCTATGATTGGTTCTATATTGCAAAAAGCTGCACCATTCAGGACTTGCTCTGCTAAAATAGGACTTTCCAAGTTGCCGGATTTTGAACATGCCGTGTCATTTTCACAGTGGAACTCATCAATGAAACCACTGCTCATGAGTGTCAATCAAACTCTAGAGCAGACTGAGAACGAGTCGTCTGCACTTCTAGGAGTTCGTCGAACTCCACGGCGAAACGCCCGGCGATGTCGTCGGGAACCGCGCCTCCGGAGGCTCTGAAGGCTTCTGCGAAGCCGGGGCACTCCTGGAGTGCTTTGGAAGGTGAAGGGGGAAAGAAGCAAAGACTGAAGGCACACCATGCGCGCGCATGCGCCATGCGCCATCCCTCTATTCCCAGCAGTTTCTGGCCAAAGCCAACAATGGACTTGATACTTGGCTGTAGCTAAAAAAGTCAGAAAACAGGGACAGGGACACGCATGTCTTGGTCTATTTTGCCACATACCAGTGCATTCGGATGGCAACCTATTCTTGAGCCATAGCCACATTCCGCTGAAGAAACAGACTTCTGGCTGGGGGGTTTACCACGTGCTCGGAACCGGCAAAGTGCATGGGACCAATAGATCTTTTGAGCGGTTGGGTTGGTCCTACATGGACTTCATTCTCCCAACAAAACTGCAGGCGGGGAAAGACACAATGAAGCTGTACCACCCAGCAGGATATGGAAACCGCAGGTGCTTGGCGCAGGTGGCCCAGCTTCATCGTCACTGCGCCAGGGCGAAGCAACGGTCGGACCGATACGGTGCACTCGCCGGGCGGGTCAGTTCCGCGTCCTGCAACAAGACGCACAGCCGCAAGACCGTCTGGGGTGGAGTTCGGGCACCCAGGCCGCGCACCAGCGTCGCCACAAACCTGGCCGAACCGCGACAGTTCGGGTTCGGATGGCCGGGCGTTTGCGTCGGCAGGTGCAGCGTGGCATTGCACGGGAATCCCGCTCCAAGTGCTAAGTCAAACTTGAAATGGCTCCAATTGCCAGTGACTTGCGTCAAGGGGGTCATTTGTATATAATCTTCAAGTTGCATTCACTGCTCGGACTCTTGTTTTGGCAGGAACAGTTCGCTCCATTAGCATTTTGGGATCTACACGCGGTTGGACAAGCATGTCCTTCATAGAACTTTGGATTTAGATTGGATTCTTGGAGTGGCAGACTAGACTTCCAAGAACTACCCTCAAAATTGCTGCAAAGGAAATCGTTCGCTGGAAATAAATAGATGTGCCTTCCTTCAGGAATGTCTTGCATACCCTAAGAATACAAATTAAATATACAGTGTGTATTAATCGACAATATTATATATATATATATTGCGATACATATATATATATATACATCTCAAACTTCACGAAAAGAGTTAGTTCCCCATTCTTCACCCAGATAAAAACCCATTCAACACTAGGCCACAGCTCCGTATGAAGGAACGGCCGAAGAAACCTCGCATCCTTCGCCAGGAGCGGCGAGACGGCACCGCCCGGGCCGCTGGCCATGACCAGGTCGCAGAGCACCTGCAGAGCGCAGCGGCGCAGCAAATCAGCTCAATGGTCCATGCTTTTTAAAGGCATGCCATGGCAAGTCTAAAGGTCCAATCGTGAAGATGATGCGTGCGTCGATAAATCGTGAAGATGTCTTCCATGCAGGTAGAGATCCCTTTGCTGGTTGCAGTTGGAGATCGCTTCACACGAGAACAGCCGCCTCCTCTTCAAACAATGAGCAAGGCATCGGTGACTGTTCTCTGAGGGACACAGCCACAACCCTGACCAAAAATCCATGCTCGCGGCACTGCGCGAATCCCAGACTCTGCGGAGGAGAGGGAGCTGAGAAACCTCTGTAGAACGTACAAAAGCCAAGGAAAAGAGGCATCGGCCGGGGTTTAGTAGATGGACATAGATGAACTTTAAATTGTTTCCAAAATGGCCTTCATCATCCTTCATCTCTTGGCACACCTTGGCTGAAAAAAGAGCACATCCTTCTCTGTCAACCTTCGCTCAATCCCCCCAAAACCGTCGAAATCCCCAGGCCGGTCGCGCCCCACTCCGGTCGCGCCGCGCCCTCTGCCCTCGCCCTCGGACGCGGGACGTCGCCTCCAAGACCGTGTTGCTCAAGATGTGAGACTCGTGGCGCAGCTGCAGAACCAGCGGCTCCACCTGTACGACTCGGTCTCCGCGCGGCGAGACGGCGCGAAGTAGAAGGCGAGGCGGGGAGCTGAGCTGGGGCAGCTCCGGAGCTGAAGTGTAGAGAGGCCCTTAAGAAGGGCCCAAATACTGGTTCGATGTCGTGGAGTGGATGTTAGTCTATAAGAACTCATCGATTTTGTGTAGTTAACAAATAGTTACTATATGTCTTGCTACGAGTTTCTCGTAAGTAGTACCTATAACGTACCAATAAGATTGGACATGCTTGGACATGTATACTATCAATTGAATAGCAAGCAACAAAAGCATAGAGGTTGTAAATTAATAGTCGTTGCAGTGCAACCGCAATAAGGACAAGCTGAAGCTGAATCCACCGCCACGAATTCTTAAGCCTGGAAGCAGGCTAAGCGGGTGATGTCTTCTTTCAACTCGCTTCCAGCACTTGAAATTCCAAGCATGATCAACCGTGTTCCTTCTCCCACGTGTTCCTTAAAACACACTCTTCTTCTCCACTGTTTCACTATGTTTCACTCCCACACTCCGGCACAAAACTCCTCCACAGCTCGCTTCCTATTCTCCCTGTCGTCCTTTTCGGTGCCACTTGGTCCCCTGAGACTCTCGCCATGGTCTCCATGGGAATCGTCAGGGTCTCCGTGGGGCCACACATCAACACACCGATGGCGGCCACCATGTCGTCCGCCTCGGCGCCAAGCCGCTCCGGACCGGGACCGCTGACGCGGAGCACGGTGGAGCACCCGGTTAGCAGCAGTGGTCAGTGTTCTGAAGCGGACCTTTTTCGGTAGCCAAACAGAGAAGAAACCCAGAAGTCTCTTGGAAAATAGGAGGATAGTATATGGAACAGTGTAGGCTTTTTCAACAAGAAACCCGTTCTTGCCATGCAATAAGAAAATGCCTTCCTTCGTCCTCTTTCCTTCCCTCAAGTTGAAACCCTCACAGTGGCTTCCAAGGATAGAAGCTCCAGCTCTACCAGCTCGAGTGGGCGTGGGCGCGGCTTTGTGCCGCAAAGCGGCCTCCGCTTCTTCAGCACTGGGCAGTGCCTGCCAGGAATTCTCCAGGAATTGACATTTCCTCTATAGGCATTGTCCACTGCATGTGTTGTAGCTTGGCTGCCGATTTCAACCATTCCATGTGTTCTCGTCAACGGTAAGGTATCAATCAACAGCTTTGGAGCTGTGAAAAAGGACTGTGTGACAATCCCTAACCACAAGAGGATTGAACATTGTAGAAACTCCCCAGCCAGGAAATGTTGAGTTCGTCTCGTAGTCCAAAATCCTCAGTAAGACAATGGCTAGTTGGTAGAAAGCATGACGGTTCTTCTTTCATGGCACCATCCAATTCAGGTGATTCTGGTAGAAACAAATGGACCCCCCATCTTTTCACCTCTTGGGGTGGCCATGTCTCACCTCTGAAACCACGAGGTTTTCTCGAATTGACCTGCGGAAGTCGGACCCTTTTTCCGGGGTGTTTGGGCTCGATTCGTTGAAGAGTGTTGAGGAAGTGAGTTGGAAGCAATTGGAAGCAATTCTTAGTACCTTTTTGATGTATATAGTCCTGTCATGATAGCCTTGGCCGCTTCAGCTCAGAATGTACGAACCAATGAATGGAAATGGTGCTCAAAGCACGCCCTCTGGCTGGCGATTCTAGACTCAATATAAAATGCAGCCAGACCTCAGACTGGAACCGGTGAGCAACAAAAAGAGGGTCCAAAGAATCCAGATTCATACAACCTGCTCGTGCTTCATAGATGGTGCTAGACGGAATCCATTGTTGCAGTGGAAGCTTCCCCCCATCCGCCCAAGGAGGGCGGGCGAGGAACACCGATGGAGCGCCTCCAATAAGATCTTGAGCGCAGGTCTCCTCGGCGACCAGGGGAGACCGACACCGGACACCTTCGGGAGACCGGAGACCGGCCATGACGGAGCTTCCCGAGCTTCGGTTCTCGAGCTGAAGGGGGCGAAACTGGGGTCTCCCTAACTGAATACCGCGGAGCTTTAGAGTGGGTCTTAGTGGGTCTTAGTTATAGGGTCTTCTTCTTAGCCGTCCAATTTGAAAGGAAATGGACTCTTCCGCACTTCGCCTCCAACGACCGAAGCTTCGAGATGGACCCCACTTCACGCCCAGCTCATGCGGGGTGTGTGGGTTGGGTTTCGTGGCGATGCACAGGGCGCCGGCCGCCCGGCGAGAGGCGCCAGCGCCATCTGGAGACATCGTGGGCGTTTTTGAACGGGATGCTCACAGAGAAGGGTTGGGTGGAGAAGGGGGCATTGGTCCAAAAGAGATCGACCCCGAGGGGCTTGTGACGTTCGTAGCGAACGTCCGATCGCTCCGTTCGTAGCGAGGCCAGGGTCGCCCCGTTCGTCGCTGCTCAATTGAAATCCCAGTGGCCCCTCTTCTCGAAGCTCCGCCTCGCAACACACGTTGCACAGCGCCGCACTGGCCGGACCGCGGGCCGTGGGCACGGTCAGCAGCTGCAGCAGCTGGGGCAAAAGCGGCCGACCCACCGGCCGACGGAGCACGGTGCAGCGTCCCAGGTGTTGGACGACACGACAGGCCAAGGCGGCGCGGCTCGGAGCGCCGGCGCCGGGAGCAGCGCTCGCGCCGCCGCTGGCGCTGAGGGAGTTGGAGAGGAAGGGAGCTAACATGGAGAAGTGCCGTTGGAAGTCCTGCAAGTGGATGCATGACTTGAGCTTTATATCTGAGGTCCGAGATGGCTTTGTGGACCTTTTACTATACTCCAAAATCGACTTCCTGAGAGTGCTAAAGTCCTTCCGCGCCCCAAGTCTGATGAACACTCGCCTGGAAAAGCACATGCCTCAATTGTGAGGGGCCCACTGGGGAACATCAAGTCATCACGAGCAGGTAGAAGCGGTTGATCACACCACTCTTCCAACGAAATGCCGCAGCTTTGGGCCGGACTGGATAGGCAAATCGGCTCCAGTCCCCCCACTTCAACAGCGAAACGGTTCCCTATGACTCGAAGGGTTACACACACACAGACCCATCCCACCCATCCATCCATCCAACCGTTCCTCCATCCCTCCATCCCATCCCATCCCATCCCATCCACACATCCATCCATCCATCCAACTGTCCATCCATCCATCCATCCATCCATCCGTCCATCCCATCCCATCCCATCCCACCCATCCGTCCATCCGTCCATCCCATCCCATCCCGTCCATCCGTCCATCCGTCCATCCGTCCATCCGTCCATCCGTCCATCCATCCATCCGTCCATCCGTCCATCCATCCAACCGTCCATCCGTCCATCCCATCCCATCCCATCCCATCCCATCCCATCCATACATAGCTTAGATCATCGGTCGTTTTCAAGACCCACCCTCCTCCATGGGCGCCGGCCGCACATCCGACAGCGCTGCCAAGCACCGCAGCAGCGCGGCGTCCGCGTCGGCGGCGTCCGCCGCGCCGAGGCGTTCAGCGGCCGCCAGGACGAGGTCGCCCCAGACCTCGCGGATGGAGCAAGGGGATGGGGGCCGAAGTTGGGATGGGGAGGCTGAAAAGACACATTACTCTTGAGTTTTTGAGTTCCTGCAGTGTGTCCAAGGAGGCAGTGAGAGTCATGACGTTTACCCTAAACCTCCAGTCGTACCTTCTAAGAAGGTGTTTGAAGTGGGTGCCAGGAGGATCCAGTCATACCGGAGGTACGACTGGAGCCCTAGGCCCTAGGGATACATCTATCGATGGAGAGTTTGCCCTTCGACCGACCCAAAACCGCAAAACCCGGCCTCCGTGGACTTCAGGAGACTGAAGCGTTGATCTGGCAGCAGCTCCTCCAAACCTTCCTGGCCGCGGGCGGAGCCGGTCACGGGGGCCGGTGTCTCCGACTCGCAGGAGATGCGCGGAGCCGGTCACGTGCGGGGGGGGGGGTTCTGAACTCCCATCGCTGTCTGCCGGTTTGGCCCCGGTGGGGCTCCCGCAGACCGGTTGGGCGATGACAGCCGAACTCACGACAGGGAGTTCCCGAATCCGGCGGCTCAGCCAGACGGAGACCAACCAGGACCAATTTCGAACGGGGTGTTCCAGAGCGAGAGCGTTCGAGCATTTAAAGGAGACAGATACAGAGTTGAACAGATTTGGAGCTCCCGGCCACGAACCAAAGAGACCAACGAGGGCGGCTTACAGGACTCCGAGAAAAGAGTCTGTCCGCGACCAGTCTTGCGACCACTGTTGGTCGGCCCAAAGCCTGGCCTCCAAGAAGATCAGTTCACATGTCGTGGTCAAAAACCTTAAAAAAAGACACGAATGAGTGTCACCACTAATCACCATGAAGATCTTGGTGTATGTGCTTGAGATGTGTGTTTTTCCAGATACATCTAATATCTATTCGATTCTGCATGGATTCTGCCCGATTAACCCACCCACTCCCTCAATGCTCAAGCGTCGGCGGCGGCCCGAATCTCGCCGCTGGACGCCGTCCGCAGCACGCGGAGAAGGCGCGAGACAGCGTCTGCCATGGCGAGAACGTGCGAGAACGTGCGAGTCTGCCTGCTGAGCTGCATGGAATCGCTTCTTGGAATGGTCTTGTAGCTTCAAGTGCTTCATGCTGCATGGAATGGTCTTGCAGAGAAAATGCCAAGAATCACTGAGCCTGCGAGGGGGGACAAACCGCTCAAGCTGGGCCTAGCAACCTTAGGATTCCTGTTTCCTGTTTCGATCTCTCAGTAGATCCCAATTCTTTGCATTGACCAACCTCAGACTCACATGCCTTTGTGTCCCTTTGTCATGCTTTTTTTCATGCCTTTTGGGCATCTTCTGCAGCAACGGTCCAAACACTTCACAGCTCTGCTATTAGTCTCCCGAGTTTGTGAATTACTGAACCCCTTCATTGCAAAATGTCCTGCTTAGCTGCTTTCTGGCCCGAAGGCCAGCCTGTACCAACAGTTCCTTGTATAGGTACTGACGACCTATAATTCTACATTTACATATACATTTACCACACTTTCCATCCATTTCATCTCGTTCAGTCACAACTGAGCAAAGGCCGAGCCTGAGCCACCACCCCGCCGCTCACCGCGTCCGCACCCACGAAACCGCCGTCCTCATGAGCCAGTGCCTCCCGCTTTAGCTCGACGCTCTCGAAGCGACCCACCATGGCATGGCCCGGCGCGACTCGGGTTCAGCCGATCTGAGGGACGTGGGAGGGGCTGGAGGTGGTGGAGTTGGGTGGGGTGAGGGTGGGGGTGGGGGTTGGATGGGCTTGGGAGGGGTGAGGTTGGGGACAGTGAGCATGCGCATGCATGCGGCCAGTGGAAAACGTGTAGACTTTGAAGTCTTGAAGGCATGGAGATAGGCCATTGTAGGCCGCCCTCCATGTTCGATCTGGCTGGTGTTCTTTGAGGCTTGTGGAAACTAGAAGAATCAGGTCGTGGATCCCCTGGAGCGCCTGAGGTGCTGCACCAAGCTGCAAACCACCTCGCTCTAAGCTGAAGCCAAATGAGCAAAGCGGAGAGATGTCCAAGCTTCGTTCCTTTCGCAGCTGAAGAAATGACTCAGTCTACTCAGTACTCAACTGTGAACCAGTCGTCTTTCCGCCCCTCAGTTGAATACAACGTGGGTCCAAATCTTCATAGCACTATACCCAGCCGTGCGTCAAGAGTCTCACACCCATCTGTGCTTCCAAGGAGCACGACCAGCAGTGATCGAATTCGGAATGGATCCGTTGGAACTCGTAGGATGAAACAAGGATGAAGCAAGGGCGGTCATCCTCCACCACTAAGTTGGGTGGGGTACACTGAGCCAATCTTGGACTCTACTTGGAAGCTTCCTGTCGAGATGTCCTGAGACAAAGAGACCCACTAAGACTCACTCAGATCCACTAAGTATAGTGTCAGGGGCTTCCAGCTGGGTGACCCCGAAGCGGCCACGGAGGGCGGTAGTACTACTCTGAGTTCTCACAGCAACGTCTCTGCACCTCCAGGGACCTCCCTTTTGCCCGTTGAGCACCAACGGCCGTGGCCTTCGTCCGCTGGTGGGGAACTCCGTCTCTCCCAACGGCCGTGGCAGCCGCGCCGGTTCCCCCTCTCCGGGAAGTCCTCCATTGTTTTCCCCGAAGACGATGAAACCCGGTCGATGAAAGAACTGAGAACTGCAGAAGACCTGAGAACCCGACGAGAACCTCGTCTTCGAGGGACCGAGTTCTCCCCGACCAGAATCATCCAAGCTAAACGGTCCTCAAGCACCTTGGCTCGATTCAAAGCATCACCTCTGCATGGCGAACTTCCGCGAGCCGCCTGTGCCGTGGAGCTCTGAACCATCGTGGGCTCGAAACGACTCGAAACGACTCGAAGCGTTCTTCGCCCGTACCGTGGATGGAATTCGGAAGCTCGGTGCGCGCACAGGAGGCCTAAAGACTGAAGAAACAGATGGAAAGTCGAACACAAAGGTCACAGCAAACCATGGTGTCACCTTCCATTCTTCCTCCAAAGGTCTTGTCTTTTGAAGAGACGATTCATTGGGTCTCTACAAGACCTCGCCCACATGATCGGGCGGAATCCCAGTCCCAGTCCCCCTGACACAGGTGTGCGGGGTGATTCTTTCCCAGCCTATCGTCACTCGATCAGTCTCGATCATTCTCGATCTCGCCCTATCGACCTCTCCCTATCGCTCACCTTCAGCGGTGAACACCGCACTACATGGGAATCTGTAGGGGCGCTGTGGCGCTCTTCCAAAAGCAGCCAGGCGTCACCTGCAGCGAGGGCGTCAGCTGCATCGACGGATAGAGATCAATTTGGGTTTCACTGGCCCTGAGAGTGCCAGTTTGACTCATTGTACCGCCTGGCAGTGGTGGATTTGACTTCCAGGTGAGGTTTCAAATGAGTCAAAACGGAAGCTCTGGGTGGAAGCTGGCCAGGAACATTAGGAAGACCATAGAAGGATCGCAGGGATCTGTCATGATCTTCACTCACGCGCTCGCACCTTTTGCACCCTCATCTTTGTGAAGTGTGCATGTGTACGCTTGGTATACGAGCTACCCAACTACCTCACCCCCAAAAAAAGTATCCTCTCTCGACATATCTTCCACCACCTTCCATGTGCCCGAGCCGATTGTTAGTCCTTCCGTCTTGACGAGAAGCCATGCAACTGGTGGCCACTGGCTGGTAGGTGCACTGGGCACCTCCCGCGCACCATCCGCCCAGCGCGCTCTGGCCGTGCCAGTTGCACCCTGCGGACAGGACCTCGGGAGCGAGCGTGCGTCTGCGAAAAGGCGTTGAACGGTTTGGGAGGTCGAGTGAAAGGAGGTGATACTCATAGGCCCTGGGGCTCCAGGAGGTTACCTCCTCAGGTTCGGTATGACTGGACCCTCCTGGCACCCGCGCCCCCAGTCCCACCTTCTTAGAAGGTGCGACTGGAGCCCTAGGGAAGTGTGACTGGATCTCTTTTGGAGATGGTGTTTGCCCATACTTTCATTGTGAGGGATGTACAGGTCAAGTCTCCCGTGTACACGGCTCTCCCAGGCCTCCCTTTGTGGTCACCAAATCTGGCCTTTCTGAAAGGCGAGGAAATGTCTCCAATATAGCCCTTGTCCCTTGTCCCACAAGCCTGGTAAGACCCATTTTCATGACACACTTGCATGGAGTCTTCTCTCCAATGGTGTGTCGACAGAGAGGCAAGACTGACCCGCTTCTCGAGAGGCAAGGCGGGCAAGGGTCGGTGGTTGACATGTTTGCTGCTTCTCGACCACTGGGGCGTGTCCTTTATCAAAGAATCAAGCACGCTCAATACGCATTCAGCAAGGCTCTAAACGATCCATTTCAAAAACAGGATGCTAGGAGCTGCTAGAACCCACGCATGTGTGTCTTTTGCTAGAACCCCTTGAGGATCTCTTGAGATTCTTTAGGTCTGTCCAGCCCCAAACGGAAAACTCCACCCCCGACCGGTTCCACTCACCACTTGACCAGTGCGACCAAGCGGCACAGGTGCCCCAATAGATGTGATATGGGCAGCCCAGGTTCTGTGTGGGTGAGCCTCCAAAGGGGGCCCGATGGTGGGCGAGGCGGGCGAGGCGGGCGAGGCGGAGGTCGGAACCACCCGGAAGACTAGTTGGAACCCCATTTGGGGCACCAGTTCGGTTCAATTGGAGGTCGGGCTTTGGAAAGAAACACTCCAACTGAGGATAGCCTTCACTGGAAGGAATCAGGAGTTGCCCTCGCGGCGCTCCGACCATGGAATGTCATGGAATGGCATGGCATGGTTCCATGCCACAAACCACGAGCTGGTCCTGGCAAGACATCCTCTTCTGAGATCGAAGGAAAAGAAGACCCAGACGGTATTATCAAGAGGAAGTTCTTTTCAAAAAGAAATCTTCGACGACTTTCTTCTGCACTGCACGAATCTCCAACTTGGAAGACCCACCAGAGACCGAAGCAGACCTCAAGAAGTCCGTTCCCCAAACAGTTGGGGGGCTGGAGGCCCAGTTCCCAGTCCCATCCAAATTCCTTGGTTCCCACTCTTAAAGACCGGAATTTCACAAAGCTCTTCACCAACCTTTGCTGCTTGGAAGCTGCTCCACATCAAAACGCCCAAACCCACCATCTTCACCACCCTCTTTGATTCTTGCGCTCGAAGGTGACCAGTTTCCCACCGGTGCCCCCCCCGTGCGGCGTCGGCACGCGCTCGTCGCTCCCCCCCGCGCCGTCGCCGAAGCAGTTGGAGTGCGCCACGGCCGCTTGCGACGCCGAGGCCGCAGCGCTCCAGGCCGCCGCGGCGGCCTGGAGCGGTTGGGATGACGTAGATCGAGACAGTGCGCCCGGCCCAGGGGAACAAACAGACCGAAACTCGGAGAAGATGGATGAACACGATGACGGCGGATTGCGTGCAAGCCTGGATCGCATGAACCACGCGAGGTCCGCAGGAGATGCTTCAAACGTCCGGGTATCCTCTCTTATTTGCGGAGCACAAATATCAGGAATCGACTGCTCTCCCCGATTTGTCAGGTTTACATCTGAAGATCGAAGAGAAGGATGCATTTGGACACAAGTTGGAGAGAGCTACCTGTGCGGCTCTGCGTATGGAAGAAAAACACATGCTTGATCGTCATGTTTGGGTGTCCATTCGTATTGATGGACAAATCCTACACCACCGCAAATATCCTATGACAAAGAGCCTGCAAACGGCTGGAAATGGCTCTTAAAGATCGTGTTACAAGTTTCTGAATCCTTTCATCGACCAACACCACCTGTCCCCTCTTTAGCGAAACATCTCAAGCACCAAAACCAGCCGAGCGCATTCACGCATGCCACGCGTGCCATGCGCTGGCCACGCGCCTGCGCCGCATGTGCCGCCTCTTCTTCACCCTCCTTCCAATTCAGCGGCGCTGTGGCCTCGGCGAACGGCGCGAACGGCGCCCTCGGTCCACACTTCGTCGGTTCGGAGCTGGACTCGGACGGGTGATGATCAAGGCTCTGAGATGCTCTGGTTTTCCTAGGCTTCCTGGCCTGCCATGAATTTCAGAGGCTGAATCCCGAATCAACTAGAAGGATATCTATAAGGATTTTACACTACAAACACCACGTCAAATATGTTCAATGGTCTTGGAAGTCTAAGGGATCTTTCTTTCCCGCCCTGCCGAGTCCATTGGGTTGGCCCTGCCACGCACCGCGTCTGTTCCCCCGTCGGGCCTCTTGCCAATAGCAGCCGGCGTTCACGCCCATACACACCGCGTAGCTGGGCAAATACACGCACCGTGGCCCACCTAGAAACACACGTGATGCCCGGACGGGCCGTCCGTCGCTGGGCCGCCGGAACTCCGCCACGTCACGTTCGGATCCACGTCCGGGTCCACGGGGGGCGAGGGGCGATTTCGTTCCAGTCCAGCTCGGGACTGGCATATGAATCCATACATTAAATTAGGGGTGGTTGTTTTGGGGGTCTGTCTGGGGCGGCAGTCCTATGGCAGTCCCCATACAGTGATAGAGTTCGGGCGTGTCACGTTCCGCCTCGACTCTTCATGCTCGGACGTGTCAGGGACTGGTATAGTCACTCTCGACGTACAAGGAGGATGAAATGCCACGTGAACGACATGGGGCGCCACCTAAAGTTTATGGTCAAGAGTCACCCAGTTGGCATTCTTGGACTGCCAGGGTGCGAACGACGCAAAAACCTACGTCCAATCCCACGCACGAACAGAGCCCGAATGGCGCGAGAAAGGAGAAACGGGATCCACTAGACCCGTCCATTCCTCACTCGTCTCTCTGCTAGAAAGAGGAGATGAATGAAGCAACAGAGGCAGAACGGATCTCAAAACGGGCCTGGTCCGGGATCGCTTCAAGTGTTGTAACAACAGAAATCGCAACTTCAGAGTTCTCGGGTTCTTCTTTTCGCACACAAGCCATGGCTTCTTCACAAACATGGGATCCTCATTGGTGCATGGCTCGGGGAACCACGGTGAGCATGAAGGAATCGCAATGAGGGTCCGGTCCTGAATCGACTTATTGACCCGCTTTCGGCTGGATGAAGCACATGAGCACATGCCGGCTTCATAGGCTACAAGGAGAAACCCGACGACATACTCTCGTCGTTGGGTTGAAAGCTCCAAGGTTTTGAAACGAAAATGAAGTGGTGCAAGAAGATCCCGTAAGGTCGTTTGCACTCTTACATGAACAGTTTCGCCTGTTGCTCATTAATTTACAGTAAGCCTGTGTATAACACCTATATTATATAGCTTTGATCAACATCAAACCTGTCTGAATCTCACCTCACCTCAGGCGCCCCCACGAAAAAGAAAGAAACCACTTCGAAAGCACGACGAAAAATCGACGAAAAACGGGGCGATGCCCACCTACGCACCAGCCACCAAAGTAACTCTGACCATTCCAGTTGCAACCCGGCGAATGGACCTCAGTCCACCCGCCCCCGACTCCGCTTCTTCGGGCGACGACCCGAGGTCGGAGCCGAAGGTCGAAAGGAGGTCCAAAGGAGTTGAACCGCTCAGTGGAGATGGTGTTCATTGGTGTTCATTCACATCAGGCGTTTTGTTTGGTTACAGGTGGCGACGAAGCATGCCTTTCCGAAAGATGCAAGCAAGATCGAATCTGAGGACCAGCATCTTCGCTTCAAAAACACCAATGGCACTTGATGACCCGGCATCTTCGGTTTCGAGGTCTCATGGCTGGTCGACGTCTTTTCCGAGCTACGCGGCCAGAAGCCCTACTACCCACCCCGGTGGGAACTCCAGACGTCTCCCCGAACAGGAAAGTCCAAGGACCCACAAAAAGCGACGTATGAAGAAGAAGAAGACCAGCACCACGGAAGGGATGGTTATTGGATGGAACATGATGGAACATATAGTCAGGGGTGTCCATAAACCACTCGTTCCGTGGTCCCAGAAACCGACTTGAAAAGCCTCAAAAAGCTCAGTCAAGCGGCACATCCAGACCAGCTGGGGTTATACTTGCAGGCGTCGTTCCTGTGCCAAACCGCCATCACAGCCATCGCTTGTCAAAGCCATCACAGCCAGGAAAGCAATACGTTGTATCACTCCAGTGGATTACAATTCTTTTACACCAGCACCACGGAAAGAAAGGGTGTCCATTCATAGCCCCTTCAAAGAGGTCAAGGGGTAAGTCACAAACAGTCTTCTGAATTTCTGAGGGCAAATGAACCTCTTTCTTACTGGGTCTAACCAGGCAGGGCCTTCAGCGCTGACACGACCACTTTCAGCTCTCCACTTTCTGTCAACAGGACAAACCACTTGACACCGCTGGCAAACCAACAAAAACTCCGCAAATCGTTGGAAAGCCCTAGCAAACCACCTGGTGGTCGTTGCCCTTTGCCGAAGTGATGATGAGCGAAGGGACCAACATCGTGTCATCTTGCGAGTTTGGATGTGCCCGCTTGATTGGCTGTCACTAGGTCTTGACCAACATCGATCCACCAGCTAGCCCAAAAGTCCTAGTTCACGAGTTCCGTCAAAATCTGCCAAGTCTCTGATCAAACCTGCCATCCCCTTTGCATGGCGGCGGTGGTGGCGCTTGTGGAGCTGCTGGTGGTGGTGGTGCTTGTGGCGCTGCTGGCGGTGGTGGCGCTTGTGGCGTTGCTGGCGGTGGTGCTTGGGTTGCAGCTGGTGGTGGTGCTTGAGCTGGTGGTGGTGCTTGCGTTGCAGCTGGTGGTGGTGCTTGGGTTG